CATTAGGAGCCCCAGCACCTAGAACAATGCCTGGCCCGTTGTAGAAACTCAATAAACAAACACTAGTTGAATGAGAGAATGACTAAATGCTGTCTTTGATGAGACCAAAGGGGAAGCTTGCTCTTCTTATTTGCTGTTAGAAGCTGGTGACCGGGGGGAAAGAGGCTGAGAAATGGAAAAGGAGAACGTGGACTGGACACTTGCCAAAGGCAGGTCAGCCCCTTCCTGTGGTCGCTTTTTGGGTAGAAGAAAAACTAAGTGAAAACCTTGTACCAAACTGGGCCTAAGAAGATAAACAAGCCAAGCCTTCCACCTAGACAATGGCCCAATTCTCCCTGACTGGGGAAGGTGGGAGCCGTGGGGAACCAGACAAACATCCCCTTCCAATTTCCTTCCGTCTGCGCTCCGCTCCTGCAAAGCATCACAGCCCACACCCCCATCATGGCCTTTCCCTCATAGAAGGCATCTCCATATCCGAGACAGCCTCTTATCCGGTGAGATCTTTGAAGGCTGGTTGAAACTGCAGTGAGTCTGAATCACCGCTAACCACAATGGCCTTAGAATGACAGAGGGTTTCTGTTTCCAGGGCGTGTTCCAAAGTGAGTTTCTGTGGCCCAGTTTGCTTCCACGTGGCCTCTGCCAACCGGGAGCTGAGACGAACATTTTGCGTAGATCAAATGATCAAACTTCAAAATACCCATGAAAAATTGTGAAAACAAAACAACAGTAGAAGTACAAAGCCAGGGGAGATGTGGTTTAAGAAGAGCATGTGTGAAAAGTGACTGAGCAGTCCAGACGCCCGTAGGCCCAGTGTGAGTCAGTCAGAGGATGTGGGTGCCAAGAAAACCTCAGACAGGCCTGGACCCAGTGGAACTTCCAGAAAAAGAAAGGGGATGGCTGACTCTACTCCATGCTGGTCAGACCACCCCGGAGGAGGTTTGGCTCTGTCTGGATGCCCCATCGTGTGAGAGGAAAGGGCATGTCCTGAGTGGAGTTACCAAGATTGGGAGTGGGGGTGGGGTAGTGAGGGACTCAAAACAGTGCCAAAAGTTCGACAAGAGGAGGAGATGAGTGACCTGGAGGAGAAAGGGCTCAGGTTGCGGGGTGAAGGTGGAGGGCTGCTGCTTGTAACTTCCCCTTCTGTCTGCCTCGTAAACTCCTATTCATCCCTCAGGCCTCAGCAACTGCCACTTCTTCTGAGAAGCCTTCCCTCACCTCTCTAAGTAGAACCAGTTATGCTTCTCTTGGGACCTCCTTCTCCTCCATTTGGGAGTCATGTCCCTTCATTACAACACCTCCCCCATGGAGGGACGTTGGCTGAGCAGAGTCCTTGTCCTACTTATCTTTGCAACCCCAGTGCCTGGCACAGTGAGTGTCCTCCAGCTAAGGCCTGATTAATTAAATCATTGGCATGAAAACAGCCCCTGAGCATTTTGACCACGAGGAAGAATGATTATATTCTTTCTCTGTGGCTTGAAGAAAACGGAACTGGAAGAGAGGGTGGAAATTGTGAGAAGGTGGATTTCAGCTCAAAATTAGGAAGTGCCTTATAATAATAATGATGATAGATTTATTGGGTGTTTGGTCATCTACTGCTGCATAACAAGTTACTCCAAAATGTAGTGGCCTAAAACAACAATAAACCTTTATTATCTCATGTAAGTTATGTAAGTCAGGAATTTAGGAGTGGCTTAGAAGAGTGGTCCTGGCATGGGATCTGTCATGAAGTTATGGTCAAGATCCCAGTGGGGCTGCAGTCATCTGAAGGCTTGATTGGGGCTGGAGGATCTGGTTCAAGCTGTCTCACTAGCATGACTGCTGGCAAGAGGCCTCGGTTCCCCCACTGTGAGTCTCTCCAAGGAGTATCTGAGTTTTGACCTCACAGTGTAGTAGCTGTCTTCTACCACAGCAAGGGATTTGAGACCTTTTCTGACCTAGCCTCTGAAGTCACAGTCTGTCATTTCTATAATCCTCACTGTGGGAAGAGACTACACAGAGGCATGAATTCTAGGTGGTGAGAATCCTTGAGGTCATCTTCAAGGTTGGCTACCACATTGAGCACTAGCGTGTATCAGGCATTGTTCTGCAAGTGTTTTGCATTCGTTCTCTCCGGTAACCCTCACAACCACTTTCAGAGGGTGGCATTTTTATTATCTCCATTTTATTTTATTTATTTATTTAAAAAAATTTTTGGCTTTCAAGTTACTTTAATCTTCATCACAGAAACAATATAAGTATTAATATATAGACTGTAAATTGTGTAAGCAATTTCCTACACATTTGAAAATTTACTTAATGAAAGTCTGGATGTCCATGTGTATTTTGCAGTTTGATCTGATGGTGTATTTTCAAATTCTCATTTTATAGACATGGAAATTGAAGCACAGAGATGTTCATTGGTCCATGATCACATTCCTGGAAAGTCTCTGAGCTTTGGTTTGAACCTGAAAACCCAAAGTCATCACATTTTGTACTGTATACCGCTGTACTCTGATGACTCGGATACACACTAATCAGGGTGCTGGAGTAGTGATGCTCAATCCTGATTGCACATAAACTCATCTGGGAAGCTTTTACACATTCCTTATGCCTGAGCCAACTCCAGGTATTCTGATCTAATTGGGGTTTGATTCTATTATGCAGGGCTAAGAAATGGTCAGCATTGGTTAGAGGTCAGATCATGCCTTCTCTGAGGTCCCTTCCAAATATTACATGCTATCACCTGGGTGAAATGAAACATATTTTTATTACTAAGCAGGTACACTCAAATATAATGTGTAGATGAATTCCTAATTGTTATCATAGGCCCCATGGGGGTAACATCTGCACTGTATCTTGAAAGGCAAGTAGATGTTGAATAGACTGAGAAAGAGGTGTCATCCAGCTAGAAGGAAACACTCAGGAGACACCTAATGCCAGGGTAGTTTCAGGAATATAAATGATTAACAAGAGAGTTTCTACAGAATCCCTCCCTGAGACTCTCTAACTGCCAGCCTAATTTCTCACCTCCCTTGTCCACGTCCCCAGCTCCTACTCACTGTTCACTTTGGTCAGGGATACCTTTCTTGATGCAGATACAGAGAATAAGCAGAAAAGGACCAGAGAGGAAAGAGTTGCTGGAATGATAAATCCCTATGGAGAAAGGAAAGAGAGAGAGAAAACATCCTTTAAATTAATTCTTGGTTATTGTCCTCTGCTTCTTGAACATGACATTGCCCTGAAGTTGAACCATGGGGATATGCTTTCAGTTGGTCATTACAAGCACTGGAAGGCTAGCTGAGGCTTCTGTGTGGCTTTCTTGTCAAATCACGTAACACCTGTCTACCTTGTTCCCCAGTGTTAGCACACAGCTGCCAATAACACTGATCCCAGAGGCAGAATGGTGTAAGATTCATTCATCCAGCAAATGCTGACTGACAGACTGGCCGGGCACTGATCTAGGCATTAAACATGAAGCCATGAACAAAACAAAGATCTTGTTTTTATGGAGCTCTCCAGAGAGAAAAGCATATAATCTCTAGTGGGACAAGAAGTAGGCTGACATTAGAATCCTCAGTAGGAAGCAAGAAGACACTAGAGAGATGTTTTCAAAGTGTTGAAAGAAAGGAATTTTAACCCTAGAATTTTATATCCAGCTAAGCTATCTTTGAAGTGAGGGAATAATTTGAAGATGGTGTCAGGTATTCTAGGAGACCCTCAGAAGATTTCCCACACAAAGACACCATTTTGGAGATATTGTTGAAGGGAGTTGTCCAGCAAGGAGAAAAAATTAAGCCAGAGAATGTTTTGAGACATATGGCATGGAAATAAATTAGTCAAGTTTTTTGCTATCTGAATAAATTATGAGAAAAACAGAAAAAGAAAAAATATAATAAGCCATAACCCAATTCTAGATAATACCAAGAGCAAAAAGAGAAAAGACCAGAGCTAGTGAAATGTAGCTGGTACATGTTTCTTTGGGAGAAAACAAATAGTTTAAGAAGTTAAATGGAGGGAAGTATACATATTAATGTGTGAGAGATAAGCCCCAGAAGAATAAAAATGTAATGTACAACATTTTCAAACAGCAGAACAAAGTTTTTTCTATCCAATGAAAAGTGGAAAAGCATAAAAAAGAAACAAGATGAAAGTATGACTTAGAAAATATGAAACTAGTAGAAATAGATTTAATATGCTGCTGATTAAAAATTATGTAAATGGGTTAAATTCACCAATAAAAACATTCTCAAATTGGATTTTTAAAATAATCCAACATTATATTTTCTACAAGACAGACATTTAAAGGAAAAAGATTTGAAAGGTTAAAAGAAATAGAGATGAAAAAGATACACTAGGAAAGTAAGGACCAAAAGGAAGCCAGGGAAGCAAGTGCAATGGCTGCCAAGACAGATGAAAGCATCCCAAGAGACAAAGAGAAGTAATAAAAGGAACAGAGTGAACATGACTATCACATGAACATGAGAATGCACCCAACGATATAGCCTTAAATAATAACTAAGAAATCTTTGCCTAATGATAGATCGCAAGTATTTTTTCTATGGTTTCTCCTAGAAATTTTAGTTTTTTAGGTTTTGTATTAGGTCTATGATACATTTGTGTTATTTTTGGTATATGTTGTGAGATATGAATCAAAATTCACTCTTTTGCTTATGGATACCTAGTTGTTCTAGCACTATTTGTTGAAAAGACCATCCTTTTCCCACTGAGTTGTCTTTGTAGTTTTATTTAAAAAAAAATCAGTTGTCTGTGTAGGTGCAAGTCTGTTTCTGAACTCCATTTTTTCCATTGATCTATTTGTCTTATACCAATGTTCTTGGCCTCCACTTTAAGAGTCTAGAAAAAGAAGAACAAATTAAACCCAAAGTAATCAGAAAAAAGGAAATAAAAACTAGAACAAAAAAAAGAAACACAATAGAAAAAGATCGATGAAACCAAAAGCTGGTTCTTTGAGAAGATCAATAAAATTGAAAAACCTTGGCCCCTTTTCACTCCCTCCTCTCTGGAGACGGCCTGCACTCTGTCTATGGAGTGTGTACCTACTTTTACTTTAACCTGAGCACCCAATTGCCACACCTCTTTCCTTACCTTTATCTTGCCTTACATTCTATACAGTATGTATCTCTCTAAATAAATCTACTTTTACTGAAAGGCAAGAAAGAAAGAAAGAAAGAAAGAAAGAAAGAAAGAAAGAAAGAAAGAAAGAAAGAAAGAAAGAAAGAAAGGAAGGAAGGAAGGAAGGAAGGAAGGAAGGAAGGAAGGAAGGAAGGAAGGAAGGAAGGAAGGAAGAAAGGGAAAGAAAGAGAGAGAGAGAGAGAAAGAAAGAAAGAAAGAAAGAAAGAAAGAAAGAAAGAAAGAAAGAAAGAAAGAAAGGCCTTTAGCCACAGTAATCAGCAAAAAAAAAAAGAGAAGATAGAACTGAGCAAGACAGTGATGAGGGTGCTAACACCTCTACAGATTCTATAGCTATTAAGGGGATAATAAGGAAATTCATCTTTATACCG